TCTTATATAGACTAAATAGCACTTGTCTTGTTTTTTCGATTCATTCCCTAACAAAGTGTTATCATAGACATAATTAAGGTTTCATTTGGGAGAACTTTCTTAATGCTCAATAAGAACTAAACAAGTTTAACTCGACTATACGTTTTTATATACCCCTAGACTCGTCTATAGGAAAACACCAAGTCTAGGAGCCCCAACCGACCATGATCAGCCAATTATTTAGCCCATCTTGTCCACAATCACGGATCAATCACCTTCTACCTTAGGGGTACCAAGCCTCGGCCAGGGCAGCTTGCAGAGCACTCATGCATCTTCTCCTTGGAATTGGCTTGTAGGTTCACCTACTCCTATAACCCTAATAATCATATAAATAAGAAGTTATGGAGAATAGTTGGGATGACTCTTTTTTATTGATAGTAAACACTTTTACTAATTTTGTGACTAAGTTTCTTAATCAATATTCAGATTTGTCTTCTTCCTTTCACTCTTTATTCTCACATATTTTAGTTAAACTAGTCGGTTTGCCACTAAAATTGAATGTAAAAAAAACATAAAATTTTCATTGATAGTGTCCTTTGACTTGCTTGGTCTAGCCATAGCTTTTCAAGGAGCTTTGGTGAATGTAGGTTATAGTTTGGAATGGCCTTTCTTTGAATTGTCTGTTGTAGCTTTAGTTTTTTAAGTAGTTATATTTTCTAGTAGCTTTCTCAAGTTATTTTATTCTTTTTGAGCAAGCTGTGTTGGCATTATTGCTTTGTCTCCATGGTTGTGGTTGGCTGTTCATATATCTGTTGGAATCATTACAATTTTTTGAATTTATTTTTTTGTCTATTTGATGAAAAATATATTTTTGTATCACTATTGAACTATCACAAGTTTTACGTACAAATAGAAGAACAAGATAATATAAATGCTATGCGTTTGATTCATATATATAAAATGAGACTGTAGGATATGAGAGATAATCAAGATAGACTTCTGTAAAGTAAATTCATTTTGTAAGCAACAAAAAATAAATGTTCGACATATATATGATAAATGGGTTGCTCATGGTCGGCCTCGTCGTAGAGCTCAAGATATAATAAATTTATATTATTTTTGGATTGAAAATTTTTACACGGTCATTGATATGCAATTTTGAGAGTTGAACATTCTTTTTATAGAAGCAAATATTAAGTTAGTTTTATTTATTGCATGTTTGAATCCTAATAATGCATTTTATGCATTTGACAAAAATAAATTGATTAGAAAAGCACAATTTTTTCTTACTGACTTTACTCATTTTGATTAGATGATTCTTGGAAATCAATTGGATACTTACATTATGAATTGATGATCTAATGATCAATTTTATTCATTAAAAGATAAATGATGTCTTGCTGAGATTATGATCCAAAGCATGAAAGATATTATATGTTATGATATTATTTTTAAACTATTGAGATAGACATTAGTGTTACCCGTTGCAACATCATGTGTCAAAATAGCATTTTTCGCTTTGAATATTTTAAAGAATTGGCTGTGAAATTGAATTGCAGATCAATGGATTAATGATATATTAATTGCTTATATTAAGAAAAAAAATTTAGCTTGTAATGATAATAAAGTTATCATTCAACTTTTTTAAAATATGAAGAGTAGAAGTTATAAAATTTTAAGTTTTTTGTTATCTTATATTTAATATTTTATCTTTTTTGGATTATAAATGAAAAAAAAAAATAAACTTTCTATATCATTCGCAAGCCTGAATGAAAAAAGTTGAGGTAAAATTAAAAAAAAAATTAAATTTAGGATCCCGCTCAACAAATTTTCTAGTACTGTCACTCAATGTTTTTAAAAATGGCTAAGGTGCATTGCAAAGTTGTCTTGAATGAAATAAATTTATTTATATCAATGTCAATGATCTATTATTATATTAGAATCAAATTAAAATTAAATATAAAAAAAAATTATGAGATAAAATACATTTATATAATAATTCTTTCAAACGACATATCATCACCGAAAGGCCTTTCACGGGTCTTGGCAGGCCTGCTGCAGTTAGTGGGCCGGTCAAGATTTTTGGGCGGGTCTGTGGCCCGCAAAATCTTTAGTCGGAGATTGTTGTTCCCTCGCTTTTTGGGCTGCGACGACTTCCTGCATTGAATGCTGGCAAACACGTGGGAAGAATAAGAGAAGCACGTGCGTGCTCCACTTCAACGGCATTTTTTCTTGCTGAACTTTGAAATTTAAAGCTATGTTGGAAGAACTTTAGAGGTCGGCAGCGGCACACGTTTGAAGTGGACTGGAGTTTCTTCTGGTAGGGCCTCTGATGGGCTTATATTATGACCTCTAATGCATTTAGACCTTTCATTGCACCATAATTTGGACTTATTCGGAGGTTAATTCGGATATAGCACATTATCCCGGACCCGACTCGGGAAATTCGGGTTGGACAAGACCAGATTTCAAAACGGATAGGGTTTGGGTTCCCAACCCGTTTGAAAAACAGGTCGGGTTCGAGTTGACCCGGCGGGTTGCCGGGTCAACCCGCGAACCCGTTTAACTTGAACTGTCCGCGCTGCCCTGCCTGCCCACGCACCTGCCCGCTCAGCCACCCGCGCGACAAAGCTTGCCAGCGCACGCTGTCGCGTCTGCCAGCGCCGCCGCCCCGAGC